TCACGCGGAAGGCTCTGCACCTGAAATATTAACCACATATAATGAGCTTAAATAGCCCAGCAGGTCACCAAAGCCTACAACTGAAATCAAAGCACGACACTGAAAACAATATGCAGGTCAATCAAATCAAGTCAAATCAATCGGTCGTAAATGATCAATGAATCAATGCAGATACGAAAATCAATACGGGACATAAGTCGATAAAATCAATTAACAGTAGGGAATCCATAAAGCTCAAGAAATCAATGCGTGTATCAAATCTCTACAATCTCTATCATAGAAATCGATAACATTAATTACATCAATACGGTCGTCTAGCCATCTTATCTATCGTATCAATCTATAACATCAATCAAATCAATAGAATGGAATCGTATCAGAACATACACTTGCAAATCAATCTATCGTTCAATCTCACTTACTTCCTGTCAGTACGACAGCTTATATATCAATATCCATAAAGATGACAACCCATTGACGACCACGAACGATGCTACAACAGTGAAACCACGTCAATCAATTCAGCAAAGCAATTACTTCCGGTCAATAATATCCATCAATATAAATAAATTAATCAGAAATCAATAGATCAATGCATATCAGGAAATCCATACAATGCAATATCATACATATGCAATTTCATACAATCTTACTGAACAAGCATAAATACTGGCTATTATCAATAGTGCTGTTGTAGAAATCCATAGTGCTGTTGTAGATATCCATAGTTCAACCAGGTTAAACACTGGCTATTATCAATAGTGCTGTTGTAGAAATCCATAGTTCAACCAGGTTTTCACTTATCTTTCAGTATCAATAATCAATTCAATAGTCAATATAATAACAATGCAGAACAATCATATCAACATTCATATGCATATATATACAATTCATCAATTTCAGAACAATTGGAAATCGTACGAAAATCCAGCGGCATAATGGCAGTATACAGAATTTACACAAAAATCACCAAAACAGAAATTTATCAAATTACCACAGAACGTGCACAACAACAATATAAGACTATTATTCTACTGAAGCAACATCAATAAACATCCTGATATTTTACTATTCGATCAAAATCGCGTAGAACCCAAAATAACCGGTAGAATCGTCACAGAAAACAATCAAATCGTGTAGAATATTCATATCTATAACATATTAAAAGTTGTATGGTGAAAATTGTGTCAATACAAAACCGGGTCCGTTTTTTTATCACACTATAGAAATCAAATCAAATCAAGTCCCGATAATTTTCTATTCGATTAAAATCGCGTAGAATCAATTCCGACCGGTAAAATCTTCGTAGAATACAGTCAAATCGTGTACAATAATCATATCTATAACATACTAAAAGTTGTGCGGTGAAAGTTGTGCCAATATCAAATCACGTCGAAAAGTCGATTACGAAAACACAAAACAGATCACAACTCGGTCAAAACTCAATATCTTTGAAAACAGAAATAGGGTTCGGAGTCCTTACCACGAGATCTTCACTTTTTCCAACAGCAGCGTCGGACGAAAAGCGCTCCGCGGCCTCCAAAACTAGGATTTCCTCTTACTTTTCCTCTCTTTCTCTCTCCTCAAAATATCTGATTTTAATAAAAATGATTTTCTCTCTCCTCAAAACGATCAGATTTTCATATATCATTTGTCTGATCGGCCCGGCCGATCGCCACATCGTCCCGGGACGATCAGACCAGAAAAATCGTCCTGGACGGTTCCCAGAACTATCTTCAGGCCGATATTTTCTACAGTACCGATCGGCCTGGACGATCTCAAATCGTCCTGGACGATTTTGAGAGGAAAATTCAAATCAGAGAGGAACAGTAAGGGAACGAGGTCTCACACCCTCAATGAAGAATGAGGTGTCTCTTTATAGTTTTTTGGGAGTGGCATGACTAATAAATATGGAGAATATCAAGGGTATGTTGGGAGTGTTTTGTATGGATAATTGATATCAACTCCCTTAATTGTAAATAGTTTATCGAGTATTTGAGTATCTTAGTGATATCCAAATTTAGTGATCTAAGGCTCGTTGGATTTTTCTCATTGAGCCGCTTGATTCGACTATAAGAATGATGACATGTTTGGAAATCATTTGGTAGTCCAATTTATGGTATGAACCTTCCAAATGTGCTTTGGGTCTTTGAGCTAGACCCATTTGGGCTCAGATTGGGTCGAATTTGGTGTTGTTGGATTCATCTTTTTGAGATATTCATTTTGACTATAAGTTTACTAAAATCAAAGTCTGGGTGGCCCCAAATTTAATTTCAAAAGTTTTAAAGTCAAAATTTCCTCGAGATTCGTACCCAATCAAGATTCATTTTTTATAATATATCAAGTATAAATTTGTTGTTGAATACTTCATGCCATATATGACAAATAATTTCATAGAAATGAGATGATAAAGTATAAACAATATGTATTATTTATCATTTTGTACTAGTAGGACAAGCCTTATAATTTGAATCACCTACTCTAAATATAGAAAAAATCTTTGATAATATATAGCACTATCAAGCATAATAAAGGTAGAGTTTCATCTTGTCAAAACATCTTGTCTTAAAATCTGTTTTTGAATCTAAATAACTATGTTTAACACAATAAGAAAAAAGTTGCTTCCTTGTATGAGAGTCTTTTACATACTTTATGTTCTCTTTGATTTTTGAAATTGAACCATCAATCTCCTTCAAGCCCTCTTGAACTATAGGAATAATAATTTGGGCATGACAACAAAACAATACCATCATGAGGGGTGGCATGAAAGAAAAAAAAAACTAATGATCTTCTTTTATAGTTACCAATCATTATCAATAAAATATACAATTAAGAAAATAAACCCATTAGTGTTTGTAGAAGTTCATAGGTATGATGTTAGACAAACTCTGCTAGTAATTTAGACAAATGTGATAATGTATGACATTTTTATTTAATGAATAATTTCTTACAATCATTTATTGTAGTATTCTTAGAAAATAATTGTAGGTCCTGATGAAGATATATCAGAAGAGCTCGAGCACCAATCAATTCAACAAATTGGAAGGATAAGTCATGCATAATGATACATGTAGTAAATAAATCATGAAATTATGTAGAGACGAACTTACTATCAAACATAGAAATGGATGAATTAGAGTTCATTTGCAAGATTAGCTGACTTATATTACATATATCTCTTCTCTTGTACTTTTGCAAATGATGTCTTAAATTACTAGTGCCATTTTTGCTATCACATAGATATGCTACACCATATTTTTTATATTTACACCTTTATTTATCATCTTTAGGATTATATAATATCTCAAAATAACCCTAGATAGTTGAAGTCATCCTTTTGCACTTCTGAACACTTTATAAAACATGGATGATAGTTCAACACGCTTGGTACATAGAGCAATATGGAGTTTACTAGAGGAAATAACATTTGCATATATAAGATAGTGTTTATCTTTTTTAAGGGAAATGACTATATTCCTCCATGGAGGAGATTAAGAGGGGTGAGTTATATCCCTACACGATGAAGATAGTTATAATTGAAGGAGAGAAAAATGTTACACAAAATCTGCAGAACTTTAAGTTTTTAGTGTTTTTATCAATTGACATTATATGATCAAGTCAACATTCTATTACTTATTTTGTAATGCTTATAACGATAATTAGATAATTATTCTCAATTGTGTAATTATGTCTTCTTACATTATGATGAAGTGTAGACTCTTATATTTTTAATTTCTTATATCTTTAATTATATAATGGACTATTTTAAGTTGGTCAGGTTACATAATTTTTTCTCATTTTTAGTGTCTATTGAAACTTCTATTTGTGTACATGAGGAATATTTATGCAAATATGAGATGTAAAATATTTTCTCTTTACTACTACAAAATTTGTAGCATATAATAGTTTGATATCATCAGTGGAATGATTTTTTAGGCCAATAATTAATCCATCAATCTATAATGTTAAAATATAGGCTGCTTGATAAAATATTATTGCTCCGCGAGATTGCCCAAGATGCCCTCTCAAGAAAAGTTATACATAAGATTCCATTTTTCTATATGGAGGATTTTTGAGACTGAAAGATCAAAAGAACTCTATTGTCTAGTCCAATGATCAATGCTACTGACTACTGTCAATAATCACCACTAATATATCTTGACTTTTGTTATAAGATCACCTTCGCTTAACTAATGACATTCAACTATTTCATTTGGATTCTATTTTTCAACAAAAGGGTACTTGACCTCTGTTATATTTTTCATTATTCAACTAATGTTGTATGATCATTCTCACATTTGATAACTTCTTCGATAATCTTTATGACGGGAATCACATAATTATTCTCAAACGCATTAACTCTTATTCTACTTCAATTGTGGGGAAGAGCTTACTATTGTATTTTGAATTAATAATATATTATTTTAACTTTGTCATGCCCCATAGCTTTTCCCCTTTTTTGAGTTTTTCTCATTCAAAAAATTGAGAACGTAACAATTATAATTCTAAAATGAATTCCATTTTTTAAAGGTTGAATAAATTTTGTTATTACTCTCAAATGAATTATTTAATTGTTTGTGATTTTGATTTATTTAATTAAGATTTCTTTGAAGATTCATGTTAAATTTTTATTTCATCCACATAAATGAGGAAATATAGCAAATTATTTATTTTATAAATTAAAATTTAATTTAAAATAAATGGGTTTAAACATTGAAATGGAAGTGGAGTTTTTTTTTTTTGATAAAGTTAACTAAGGAAATATTTGGCCAAATTTATTCTAATATAGCTCAAGTTAACTAAGGAAATATTTAGTATAATATAATATGTGTAAAGTATTATATAATATGAATATTTATCTTAAAAATTAAATAAAAAGGAGAATATTTTAATTAATTTAATATATAATTTAATTATTAAAATGATACATAATAGATAGACAGAAGTATAGTAGATAAATTTAATTAAGCTTTTTGATGCTTTAACTTTACGAGGCGTCCACCCCCTCTTTAAATAACTCAAAGAACGGTTCATCTGCTTTCCCAATATCTTCCCTCCCTCCTCTACCGGGCGATTCGCTAGGGCTTCTCACAAGGTCGTTCGGTTGCCGGATTCTCTGCCATGAATCCAGAATAGTAAGCTCTTTTGTCTACTAAGCTCTTAATTTGATTCGGAGTTCTAAGTTATTGCTTTTGCTGGCCTAGGGCCTCTTCCCTTGCTCAATGTTTTTACCGCAAGCTGTATCGCTGCGATTCTCCCTTTGTTCTTCGAAGGAATGAATTTGATGTTATTAATTAGTGGTATTGTTTTGGTAAGGCTTCCTTTTGTTTGTTGCATCTATTTAGTTTTTTTTTTTGAAAAGGGCTTGCTTGCTGCATTTATTTGCAAATATGTTGCTTTCTTGGCACGGATGTGAGGTTACATGGAATGAATTCTTTGACGACTGTGGGAGCTTTACCATTGAACCGACTCTGTAGGTTTCTTTTGATTGTACTTCAAAGTCATGGATATTGCGTTTAATGATGCTCTCAGGGGTGGTGTTTTTTGGAGACAGAGCAGACAAAGACTAGTAGTTAACCGATAGACACGTTTGGTGTAATCTGCTTTTGATTTTATAGATGCCTCTTCCAGATCATGTTATAGGTTTGAAATCTTTGAGATCATTAGTCTAAGATAAGATGGCTGATCGCAGCATTACTATTGTATATTATTTCGCTTTTGGTTTAGAATTACTTAAGGATATAGGCTAGGTTAGTGTAGGCCGCTATGCAATGCTTGTTTAAACCTGTTTAATTGTCAAATTTGAACTGAAGTTTTAATTCAAATTAAGTTGTACAAATTCTTAACTCATGGTTGACACTACTAATTTGCATATTGAATATCTAGATAAATTGATGCCTGTGCTTATGCATCGTGTAATTTTGATTATTGTGCTTCATAATTCTTGTATGTATGTAAGTATTCAAGATCAAAGAAAGTTTCGGGTTCGTGATTGGCAAATAAACTGAATTTAATTATTTTTCGGTAATGGTGGGATCAAGTTTTTGGGGTTCCTTGAGCTATGAAAGGAAGTTCCTTGCTCATGCAGCCTGTCATATTGATTATTGTGCTTCATAATTTTTGTGGATATATAAGTATAATAAGTCAGGGAAGGTTCAAGTCTTGTTATTGATGAATAAGCAAATTTTTATTATCTTAATCATGATAATGGTGAGGTCAAATTTATTGGGGGTTGCTTAAACTATGAAAGGAAATTCCTTGTGTAGTAGTTATTCTTTAATATCATCTTAATTTGTTACTCCATAAATCTTCATAGATGGCTTTGAGTTTGTTTAGTCTATTCATATTAGTTCCTTTGTATTATGGGAGTGATTTTGTGCCACCAGTTTGATTTAAGTAACTTTGAAGTTCATTGTATTCGTTGCACTTTTGTCCTCCTTGTTATCAATCTGCCCCCATTAGGAATTCATGTATGACTTGCCACAATCTATTTTTAAGATTACTAGATTTTATAATGCACTAACCTCAAAGCTACTTTACCTAAGACCAACGTTTGATTGAGCCTAAAGAATGGCTTGAGATGAGCTCATTCCATTTGTTTCATCACAATGTGGGTGATGTAGGACATCTTAGGGTCTGTGGATCCTAATGTAGCTATATAGGCTTTGCTTGGAACAACATTTAGACTGTTTTTGTGGTAAGAAAACAACCAGTAAAAAAATAATGTGTTTGGAAGACAACTTTTTCATTGAATTGTCAAACTTGCTTTTAAAAAGCTAATTTTTTAAAAAGTAGTTTTGAAATTTTGGTTGAGAAAGGAGCTTTGAAAAGCAAAAGCAGAAAAGCTTAAGTTGTCATTAAGCAAAGCCATAATGTGATGCTATGTATGAAAACACATAATTTAGATTGGATATTCACATTTCAGATGATAACAATTTAAAACTAATTACTTCCTTTTGATGTAAATGGGAAAATATGAGAAATACATGCTAATTAATAAACTAAGGATTGATTAAACTATATAAAATCAATGAGAAACTGTGAAACAACTACCCAAATTCTATTAATTTTTTGCAACTAAAATTCAGCAATAACATATTGTCCTAAAATCAAGAATAATCTCAAAAGCCAATGATGAATTATGAAGAAGAAAAAAGAACAAGGAAAAGATCACTAAATACAAAAAAAAATTATGCCTCTTATCAATACAAGGAGATAAATTTTCTTAGAATTGATAGTATTTCACTTGCATTGTACTTGAAGGAATTATCATTCAACCAAGCATACACAAAAGATTGAAAGGGAGTTAATTTTCCTTTATCAAATAAAGAAGAATATACTAGACGCACATTTGTGAACCAACATCTGATAGCTGGTCGGAATAGCAACTAAAAAGAATAACTTGATTTATTTTTTTTGAGATCAAAGTTCCCCACTCCCATTAATTAAGGCTTTTGAGGCCATGAATCAAATGCTACATCAGATTGAACCATCGACTGTGCCAACCAACATAAATTATACCATAACAAGGAACCCAATTAATGTAGAAACCTTTCGTTCTTGTAGGCCACATCATGTAAATAATTAAATCTAAAGTAAAGGAAAAATTGTAAAATAGGAATTACAAAATTAAATTAAAAATTATGATTAGTTTTCAAATTTCCTTGACAATTTCAACACGTGTAGGCTCATTGAATTGAGTCAGTGGGTGTCTTATTTTGATGTTTTTGTTAGTCTACCTTCTTACTTTAGGGTTTGCTATAAATCGCATAAAATAGACTTTTCCCCTTTGGGCTTGTTATTGCTTCTTGTGAATTGGTTTTGACATGGCGTACTTTGAGGCATTATGTTTGAGTAAGACTAGTACAATGAAATTATAGTAGCCACGTTGATTAAATAAAACCACATATATATGCTTTTATAAAACTATGTGAAGTATTTATTGAAAAAAAGATGCAAACATGTTTTAAGCAGCTTTATATTCTCATGAAGCTCTTTTTATGATTGGCAAAGAAATCAGCCCTAGATTCTACCAATGCTAAAGGCTTATCTGCATTTTTTTTTCAGGCCTGAGTGAAGTCTAAAATCACTATCATTGTGTGTTATTGTGAAAAGAACTTTTTTAAGTTTATAAGTTCATCTATTACTCCCATACCAAGATAAAATTGTCAAAGGAGCAAGTTGGCAGGGCATGGTGGTCCTATTGATTTCTCCATGTTAATGCTAATAGAAATTTCATTTATGATGAAAAATTGCTTCCACCAAGGTTGGAAGTCTGCGCAATGCATTCATATATTTATGATCAAACTATCTTTGTGATCGCTCAAGAAAAACTATCCCAACCCTTGAGCCTCCTTGATGTGTATGAGAGAAACTTGAAGTGGTTTTTCTTGAGGTATATTATATATTCGTTTTAGGGTGTTTGCAGTTTTTTATAAAGATAGTTATAGAATTATTGTGGGGAAAGCAACTTTCTTGAAACTTCTGGTGGTATTACAAATATTTTCTTTTTGACCATGAATTTCTTTCTAGTAAACGTGTTGTAAAAGCATCTTCCTGTCAGAGAAGTTTCTGAAAAGAAACTAGAAAGCAGTTGCTAAATAGATGTAGTAGTGATCTAAAAGGCGAAAAAAACTAGAAAGTTGCCCCAAATAGACCCCATGTTTATTTTAACAAGATTTTATCTTATGTTATACTGGGATTTATTTGTATTTGAGATCTAGACTTCTATCAGTGTAGACCTCCATAATTAATTACCATTATAGATCACAAGATAGTACTCTTAATTAAGGTGGTTGCTTAGTCTTATATTTATACTTGGGTTTAATATTTATGTTTGAAGTTAGAGGAATGGTTAAGTGATGTACGTAAACTCAATCATGATCTCATGTTTCCATGATCTTGGATATTTATGTTTACCCACTTTGCAAATGTTAGAGGTTTCCAACCATAAGAATAGGGAATCTATTCAACAATAATGAGTTACCCCCTCTTAGGTATCTATAGTGGAAATGTATATTTTAGAGATGCGATTTTGAGAATGATGTTAACTTAGTTACTTGGCAAAGGGCATACTAGTTTTACCAAATAGTTAATAGGAACAAAATATGGCAAGATAAAAGCTTTTAGATGCATGACATGATTATCAATTATTACCAAAATTCAACTTGACTCAAATTAGAATGTAAGACATATGAGAGGTTAATTGGTTAGTTATGTTCGGGCTTGCCATCATTGGAATTCAACTTGACACATTTTGTTTTGGGGCTTACAACTATTGGAAAGCCGAAGTTTTAATTTACTATGTTTCTTGGCTTTGTGACAACCCAAATTGATCAAAATGGTTCGACTATGATGGCCCAATCAAATAGAATGGCTTGATTATATCACTAGCTTTGTGTAGGCTTGGTTTATTAGGTTGGGATATTTCATCCATTGAGATGTTCATAAGTGGAATTTATATCTTTAAGGGAGAGAATGGCCCAGTAATGGGCATTATGGCGATAATTTAGGTAAGGTGAACTATGGATCTTTGAATCTCACATTGTTAGCAATAAGGCTTGTTTAATCAAATGATTTGATTTTGATTTTTGATTTGGTGTATATTTTGATGCACATTTTGAGGTGTTGATCATAGGGCCCCTTGAATCAATAAAGAGATTTCAAAACTGAACTCATTTTCTTGGTTTATCTGCATGATTAGCTGAGTCAATATTGATTGTATTTGAATTAGGACTATGGGTGTGATAATTTGGCTCATGAGTGGGCATTTTGATTGTTTGTTATCCATAAGAGGACGTTATAGTCTTCTTTAATTACTCAAAACATTATTGGAAACCCTTGGTTAAATTTTTGATCCTTTAAACATGTTTATTGTTGCACGTGCATAAATTTTGGTGCTCATGTTTTTCAATTATTACCTTGAAAGCAAATTTATAGGTCTTTTGTATTATTTAAAAAAATGTCAATTTAATGCCTTTACACATTTTTGTATAGCATCAACTTGATTATTAGGCTTCCAATTTTTGTGGAGCATCGTAGGTTTATGTATGATTATGGTCATGTAGACCAAACTGCAAATGCTTTTTACTTTTGGAACATTCTTTGTTATGTTACCATATATACACATGAGGGTCATTTTTTCATTTGGATTTTTAAATTTTATTTGATTATGTATATGCCTTACAAAGATCTTGACCTTGCCCATTAGTCACTATTGGACTTGTCATTTGAGCTGTACAAGGAAACCCATGTGACTTTTTTTTGATTTGAGTTGCTTAATAGTCTATTTAAATCCTTTGGTTTGGACAATTTGGAAGACCTTGTTGTCCTTTCTTTGGATGATAATATAGATATGTGAGATAGTTCAGCTTACTTCGACATTATTTTGTGGAGCCATCTTAATATCAAATTATTTATTTGGAAATGATTAAGAATTTCTATGCATATCCGTGTTGGAAACCTTTAATAATTAATTCATCCTTATGATTATTTTTGCATTGTGATCATTGCAATTTTCTTGTTAAGAAGAAAATTGATGACTAATATTGGACATTAGTCTATTAATGTATTATGTTTGTTAGTTATAAAATGCCAAAAAAGGCTTGAGAATTGAGTTTGCAAACGTACATCTCCCAATGATTTTAGCGAGTTCTCTCATGTTAAGAAGTCTGAGGCATGCTTTGATAGATGATGTAGTTGAGCAGAATAGGAGCTGCGCTTTAGAAAATGCTATGAGGCTCACCATGGTAGTTGTCATATTGGATGAGGCATAATGTATGCAGTGGAGATTTTGGAAAGAGTAAGAGAGTTCAAGGAGGCCTTTTTTTGCTATTGATGGTATAGTTGATGTTGTACTTGTGCAATTAGTCGTGTTTGGGCTATAATGAAAGTTGTGAGAATTGGATTGTGCGTGCATGAGAGAGCTCACAAGTCACTAGCACAAAGGAAAAAGTTGAGAATGTGCATGAAGACATGTGAGAAAGTGACTTTATGAGATATAGAGGAGCAAATGAGTGAATTGAAACAGAAGGAGGCATCATAATCATGCATGTTATGGCTTTTTTCTGTTCATGAGATCCACACTCGTCATGATTGTGCGTTGGAGTTGGGATGGTGTGCCTTTCTTAGGGGGAATGTTGTGCGTTTCTTTGGGTTATACACATGTGACAGAGAACATGGCTTATCGGGTTGAATCTATTGTAGATTCTCCTCGTTGAGATTGTTATTTATTATTTGATTCTTGTAAAGCATTAGAAAAAAATTCAAATTTTATTGGAATTAATAAAATAATTTTCATGTGCTAATTGGTGCATTAATTAGGCTTAAGTATGCCTCAAATTAAAGTTAAATGGGTATTAGTTTTAGTCTGGAACAATTGAACCTAATTATAATTATCAACTCTTAATTAGGCTAATTGAGAAATATTAATAACATTAAGTTCAAGAGACCCTAATTTTGGGGTGGACACTATTTCTCTATATATTTTCTTTGTCATTTTAAATGGGTTGGTTTACATCAAATCAACCAAATATTTTCCTATAGTTGGATTACATCAAGGTTCAACTTTAAGCCCATATATTTTTACTTTAGTCACAAATGTTCTTACTAGACATTTGCAAGAGGATGTACCTTGGTGTATTCTTTTTGCTGTTGATATTCTTTTTGTTGATAAGACAGAGAGTGAGTTGATGAAAAACTTTGGATTATGGAGGTCCAGTTTAGAGTCTAAAGGTTTTGGTATGAGTAGATCTAAAACCAAATATATAGTGTAATTTTAAAGTAATAAATCTAGTGGTTGGATTGTGACATTGAGTGAGAAAGTCATGAAAAAGACTGCACATTTTAGATATATCTGGTATATTGTTTAAAGCAATGATGAAATAGATGAGAATGATATTAGTAGAATTAAAGTTGATCGGTTGGTTGAGTAATGCATCGGGCCTATTATGTGTTGGAAAATTACCCCTCAAGGGAAAATTTTATAAGATGGTGGTGAGACCTGCAATGCTTTATGGCGTAGAATGTTGATCATTAAAAGTGAAGCATAAAATTAAGTGTTGCAGAGATGAGGATGCTTAGGTGGAGTGGCTTTACACTTAGAGACAAAATGCTAAACAAGTTTATACATGAAAAGGTCAGAGTAACTGTAGTGGTAGATAAGATTAGAGAGAGTCGCCTTAAGATTGTTTGGTCACATAAAATATCGACCTTCCAATGTTCTGTTAGGAGAGTAGTTGTATTAGATCCGGCCTATGTTAAGAAATGTAGAGGTAGACCTTAAAAAATTTGATTAGAAAGGATTAAAATGATATATTTTTTATTAGATTTAAATGCTATTTTGACCCTTTAATATGACACGATGGAGAAAAATGATTCATATAGCCAACCCTTTAATACATGGGATAAATACTTGTTATTGTTGTAATTTGTTGTCTTTAACGGGTGAAAGGATTTGTGGAAGAAACCATTGTTATTGTGCATATTCTTATCCGATATTAAATTGTTTTTTTTTAATGGTGCAGAATCCTGTCATGACAGTTTCAAGAGGCTGTGATCGGTTGATTGATCCATCTATTCTGATATTTTTAATTCATACTTTAGACGTCATCTAACCTTTTCTCTTTTCTCTTGGAAAAATTTAGTTATTAAATTTAAACTATTGCATTTATATTGGTAGAATTGGCTTTGCAACTGCCATTCTTTAAGCTTTTTCTGGAAACTGCTTGCATTTGTTTGCTACTATTATATGTCAATCATCAAAAACATTTTGAGATGTTCCACACTCGAGGAAGAGTGTTTGTAGTTTGAATGATAAAATGATTTAGTTTGTACCTGGCTTAGATTCCAGTATGGCGAAAGCGGAGTACTGTGATCTATATCATGCAATTCAAGTTCCATCTTGCATCTTAGAAGTTTTAAATCCATCACCGTCATAAAAGTTTTTGCTGTACTTAATACAAGTTTTGTAGGTCAACGTTACTTTAATTGAATGCATATCTTTTTAAATATTCTTGAAGTTAGGGCCTTAGTTGATATGTTTTTTCTTATGCTTGACTTCATGAAACAAAATGCGGGATACCATGTAAATGATAGTTTGGAATGTGTGAAAGTTTGTGCTGGAGGTTCGTTTCAAAATTTGATGAGTTTTTCTGTCTTTTGCAGTGACTATCTTTTCAAGCTTTTGCTAATAGGAGATTCTGGGGTTGGCAAGTCATGTCTTCTTTTACGATTTGCGGTAAAAAAGTTCATTTTGTTCATGCTTTATTTTTTTTCAGCAAGCTGATTTGGTAGAACTCAGTATTCTTCTTTTAGTTATTGCTTTCTTTTTTACTATCAACATACATGTTATCATACCATAATATGTTAGCAAGTTACATTCCATTAGATGAAAAAATAATCGGTCAGTTTCCAAGATTCTGAAGGCCATCAAACTAGCACACCCGATAAAATGAAAGAACAATTGTTCTTCAGCAAAATCTGTGTTAGTTTGAATACCAAACTATGCAGGAAGCAATGCTCTTTCAATTCTCAAGCTATCTCAGTTTTAATATAGATGTTTTGGTTTATATTACTCCTGTATTGTACACTCACATGCTATGAATGTTTTGTTCTTGCATGTGGAACAAGATTTTCGTTTATGTTTGTAATGAAAGCACACACGGCTTTTACCTTGTACTCACATATTGAAAATCAAACTTAGGGTTGGTGGTAGACACTTACCTTGCATTTTATACCTGAGAGATTGTTAGTTATTCTAGATAGATTATCAACTGCCTTAATTTCTTTTTTGGACAACTATTGAAGGAACATGGAACTCATAATCTTCAAAGGGATCCTTGAGCACACAAATTAAGGGTTCTAACCGTTGGATTGATATGCTTATGGACATTAGATTGCAATCCATGTCTCTTCTTCTTATTCTAGCTGTCACCCCTCTTAGGGAAATTTTATTTTTTTTGTAAATAAATTTGATTTATTTCCATTGTAAGCCTTTAGGAGAAGTCTATAAATACTTGTATATTTGTACATAGTTAAGCAATAAAATTCAAAGTAGTTTTATCTACTTTTCTATTTTTCTTTATTGTCAAGGTTAGGGTTTCTATCTTCCAACTTTTGTTCTTTTTTCTTTCTCCTCCATCAAAATTCTTTATTTTCTTCATTATGGTTGATTTCTTTGATTTCCCTTCCAAAGTTTTGACCATCATAAATGTTGAGAATTCTAAGGGTTGCAAGTCTCATATTGCCGGAATGGAAAAAATTATTTGATATGATCCCAAATTATTAAGACCTTTCTTAAAGGAAAGGAAAAGATCCATCATCTTATGGATCCTCCTTCGGAATTGAAAGACCCAAAATTTGTACCTTGGTATGAAGTGGATTCTATGATCATGACATGATTGAGGAATACTATGATGCTTGAAATCAGTAGGTTATATACTTTCATGCTTTCCTACAACAATACTTATCTAGAACAAGTTCAAATTGTTTTATGGCTATTCAATTATCTTCTTTTACCATCCTTGGTGAAACTATATGCAAATTTGAAAGTCTGTGTTCATTTTGGGAATGCAATTTATGTATATTGATTCATAGTTTTTGTTTCCTAGTTTATTTCAAATGTTAAAAATATATTCATGATGTTAGTTCGTTTACAAGCACAAGGTATTCTTTAGTATTTTTGAACAGCTTGTTAGATCTTACTCATTACTGCATGTTTTATATGGAATTCTAATAAATATATATGGAGTTAAAAATTCTTTCCAAGTCTTGCTGCCGTTGAATTCTCAGACTAAATGTTGTTGTAGTTTATTAGTTGTTTCTCATATTACTCTGCTTTCGATGCAGTTTTCCCACCGCTATCCTTTTTTATTCACCCCAATCCTTGCTAATCCTGTTGCTGTTCATTGCCCTTTAGTGTTGTCGCCTCCAGAGTTTCCCACTACCTGCTGCCTTTTGTGTTGTTTGTTTTACCTTCTATGGCATGGTTGTCGCCTTATACTCCTGTTATTATCTTTAACTATAATTACATTACACCCAGACACCCAATTGATGAGCTTGCCTCCTCAAAACCTCTCAGATTTGCAGTAAATGCATTTCTATTTTGTTAGATCCATTAAAAAAATCTTGATTTTGATTTTATAGAATATTTAATACTGTTGAAGTTCAAGAGGGGTGAATTAAAACTTAATGATTTGAGTAATTTTCAACAGATTTTGGGTCCTTTTTATTTTGGTTTTTAGAAGCTTATAAATAGGACCCTTGATGAATGCAATGCAAAATTTATCGAAAATTAAATGCTAAAATCGAGTTCATGTTTTTCTGTCGTAATGTGTTTGTTGAATGTGTATTATTTGAGCTCCATTCATGTATGGAACGATTACTTCTGTGGGAGCCTTCTTGTTTTTATGCGAACTCTGATTCTTCTCATTTGAGTGATTTATATACTTATTCGTCTCTTTTAAATTGTTTAATCGCTAATTTTGCATGTGATTGAAAACTTTTTAAGATACATGTTAGTTTTTTTGAAGTTGAATCCCAACTTTTTAATTTTGCTGCTTTTTTTGTGGAATTTCACTTTTTTGGGAAATTATTAAATTATCATTTGAAACGAAGCAAATTTGCTGTTCTTTACATTAAAATGAAATTTTTTTTTCTAAAATTATGAATTAAGTAACTTGTGGATTAAGTATTTTATTTGCTGTTTAATACGCATCTCATCATAGGACATTAGAAATCTTTGATCCTTAAGCATCCTACATCAAATTGGTATTAGATCCTCAGGTTTCTTCATCATGTTGACCAATGTATGACCCAATACAATAATAAGCTTTTATCCTACAATGTGGGTTCGGAGTCAATAGTTCTAATGTGATTGCATATTTACTAAGTTTACAAATCTCATAGTTATATATAGTTTGCTTCATGGCTACTTTCTTGTTTTGTGTTTTGTTAAAAATCTTAGGCAAGGAATTAGGATTTTCTTAAGCCTCAATTTATAAAAACCCAGGTAAGACTTTAACTAGATCTTAAAATATTGATGCATACTATGGTCAATCCATTAGTGACCACTCCCATAGTTGATACATGATAGGAAACAACCCAAAATAATGGAAAACTGAGCAAAAAATTGCAGCAAACAACAGTTTTTCCCATAAAATTGTAGGAAATCTGAGAGAAAACACTTGAAATTCACTAGTAGAAAAAGAAAAACAAACAAGATGCAAGTGATCCTCAATCCGAGAGGAGGATCGATCTCTCCCGATTCTCTAGACGCCGCTAGAGCCCAAAGAAAACCTAAACCTAATAGATATGAGATTTCAGCTAAATTCAAGATGCCCTAACTCTAGGAAAACAAACTATTTAATGCATACAAATCAAATGGAAATCCCTAAACAATCCCTACATTCAAATTTCCCTCTCAAATCCCTCAAAATTCCTTCCAAAACTGCTCTTTGGAACCCCGTTGGCTTGTGCGGCTTGTACAGGAGGCGGAACTCCTCCGCCATTTCGCTCGCAGGCTGGATTGGTCCAATAGACCGATCTAACAATACTCCCCTCCCAAAGAGCCACCTTGTATGCAAGGTGGACATACGACACCCTCAATTCCTTTTTCATTACAAACAGTAAGAACCTGAAGAGTTAGGTCCTTACACCTGTGCCCGGGCGTATACCTCTCATCACATCTGAAACAAATCCCCTTCGCTCTCTTCTTATGTAATTCTGTTCTATGAGCTTCTTGAAGTTGCCTCTAGGTCTTTCTTCGGTAGTCTTTTCCTTCGAAGTCTCCCTAAGAGTACCCAGTGTTGGCTCCTTGGGTGCCAAAAAGGTGGTGGTCATCCTGTACGAGCCTCTTGAACTATTGCCTCATGCTCCTTTTTCCAGGTTCCTATGATTCTCCACCAACTGAGCTAGCTCCATAGACTCTACCAAGTCTTGAGGTCTCATCACTCTGACTGCTACGCAGATCTTTGATTTCAGTCCCTTCATAAAGTTCCCATCCAGTACAGACTTTGGAAGCCGATCCAATCTACTGGCATGGTACTCAAATTGCTCACGATACTCCACTGTTCCCTCCCTTGCTGGTTTGGGAACGTTCCAACATGCAGTCCTTAAACTCTTTCCAGGTCCTTATTGGTTGCCTCTTATCCCTCCACTGGTACCATACTAAAGCTTTCCCTTCCAAGCTTAATCTCAGCTGCCATCAGTCTCTTCCCCTCCGTTAACCTGTTGACGGTAAAACACATTTCCACCTTGTAGATCCACCCATGGGCATCCTCCCCCTCAAAAATAGGCATCTTCACCTTCCTCACCCTCATATCACCTCCGTTCCCTCTGTTACCTTCATAATTTCTTCTTCCCCAAGGGGGTGGTTCCCCTCAAGTGTCCCAATCATCCCTTCTACGTTCATATCCAAGCCTTTCATCAAATTCCCACCTTCTTTCAGATTCAACACCCCTTGTATAACAAACCCCTCCCCATTCAGATGCAATCCCCCTTTGGACATAATTACTCCTTTCCCTTTCAAATTCGGCACCTCTTCGGTCATAATCAAGTCCTCGTCTTTCCAATTCAGTCTCTCTTCTTTCGAATTCAACATCCTCCCACTCATGCCCAAACCCCTCACATCTTTCCATATACCATCTACCGGACTCCTCCCTAGGAATAGGCCCTAAGGGAGACATTTTTTATGTTCCCTGCAAAATCTCCACCTCTTGATCTTTCCTTTCGTTTGGTTGGCTTCGGATTTTCCCCACTTTCATGACTGTCGACGCCTTCCCTTACCTCCGACGGTGATATTTTGATTTGACCCTCGAGCACTTTCTTCAACATCTCCTCTAGGATGGAAAATTTCGAATCGAACTTATCATGGATGGCTGAAATGTCTTTTTTTTTTAAATCTGAAACTTGAGTTTGGAGATTTGAAATTTCAGATTTCATTTGTCCAATCTCCACTTCGAGGCGTTTCTCCAACGTATCCATTTTCTTGGCCGCCATTGATCCCCTGATTTTTGTAGAAATAAAAATCTAGACTTCGACCTTCAAAAACAACAACTTTCTTTTTCGAAATCCCAAGAACAGTTGCTAAAATTAACCAAACAGCCCACAAAAAGGTCCCCAAAACAGCTTTGATACCAATTTGATTGGAAGCAACCTATAATGGAAAACAGAGCAAAAATCTGTAGTAAACGGCAGTTTTTCCCACAAAACTGTAGGAAACCTGAGAGAAAACACTTGAAATTCACTAGTAGGATTGATCTCTCCCGATTCTCTAGACGCCGCTAGAGCCTAAAGGAAACCTAAACCTAAGAGATCTCAAATTTCAGCCAAATTCAAGATGCCCTAACCCTAGGAATACAAACTATTTAATGCATACAAATCAAAAGGAAATCCCTAAATAGTCCCTACATTCAAATTTCCCTCTCAAATCCCTCGAAATTCCCTTCCAAAACTGCTCTTTGGAACCTGTCGGCTTGTGCGGCTTGTACAAGAGCCGGAACTCCTCGGCCATTTCGTGCACGGGCCGGTCCGGACCGGTCCGATAGACCGGTCTAACAATACACTTATAGATTTAAATCATTATCTTCTCCTCTAAAACCTGTCAAACATGTAACGCTAAAATCATGTATGATCAAACCTAATCTTATTAAGGAAATTGTAGTCATGAATTTTCTTTTGAAGCTGAATTAGATGAAGATTTATAGTTACAATTGGACTGTTTCTGAGGAGTAAAAAATTTAGAAGAGGATTTATAATTTTACCATGAGTTGGTATCTAATTGAGATGAATTTTAATATGCACTTATATTAGAATAGGGTGTTTGGTTGAACACATTACCACATGGTTTCAACTTAACTATGGAATTTCAGTCAACACAAGGAGTTCAAAATCATTATCAAGCATTGTTTTTATTTGCCACTCATTGTTTTCTCGCATCAAGTATTGCTGCAGTTTACTACTCACTAGTCACTATGGTTTATTGAGCATCAAATATTGAAATAGAATTCTAATTTGCTTTCTTCATATGCATGCTTGTTGGATGTATGTTCTTTGAGCATCTTTTTGTTATGGGTGGTGATTCTCAAGGGAGGCCCCTTATATTGGTGAGGTCTAATTTTTTCTTTTGGAGTGATTTGTATCATTGTTTTAAATTATTTAGTTTATGATTTTTTTTTTGATTGAAATTTTACATGCCAAGTTTTATTTTTGAAATGTGAACTTGATTAGTTCTTGAATTTTATTTGTCTTCATTATTTTCTTATAGAATTTCAGATTTAGGGAATTCCATTTTTGTTTGATATCCTTTATATAAAAATAAGTTTTTTTGTAAAATTATGAATTCCAATTTTGTTTTATTGTGTACGTCATTTTAAGTTGTATTACAAACCCTAGATTTTTAACCATCCTACGGCAATGCTTTTTGCTCTTTAATTCATCCTTTTTTCTTTAATTCATGCCTTTTTTTTTCTAGAAATGTCATTTCAGGTTATATTAGAATGATTTTCTTTATTTAGATTGATTCTTACTCTATCCTTAGCTTATTTTCCTTGTATTTTCTTATCATTCTCATGCATTTTGTTTAACATATTCATTTAAGTAGTTTTTGTTGCTAATCACTCGAGTCATATAATTAGGGGGCCTAACGTAGTTGTGCTTTTACGAAATTTCGACCTGCGGTGCTAAGTTTTATTTTTCTTGAAAAACTCTTAGCTTTAGGTTTCCTTTGGTAATGCTATGTTGTATTGTAGAAAATGAAGTTGTAACTAACACGATGAGCAAATCAAGTGTGTTGGTTGTGATTATGAAGCCATCCATGTTCACATACAGTGCTTCTTAAAATTTTCGATACTCATACAATGTCTTTATATATGTGGTTTTTTAAAAGCGAAACACTACAAAGCATTCTCAAATAAAGTCTTACTTATGTCACATGTTCTCTTGTTTAGTTTAAGAGATAATGATGGAATAGTGTGAAATTTGATTGCCCAAATCATAAGCTTCCACAAAAAGTATAAAAAAAAAGGGCATATCAATACCTATTTTACCTAAATAAATTTCTATATTGTTATCTGTATTAGATCATTTTGCATGCCTTGTAAATTTTTCCGATATATTTGTGATTTGATATAGTATCCGGCTCTATTTAAATCGTTTTTCCTTGATAGCCGTGTTGCCCCTCCTTTGTCTATCTTCAAAATCCATCCTAATTATTTTGAGTTGGCGCATATTCAGGTTCTTTTTCAATCCGCTAATTTTATCTTTATCTGAAACGATGACTTCTACGTTGCCCTGAAGCATAGTCCTAGATATCCTTTTTTCTTAGATGACAGACCATTGGATTAATATCCAAGAGGCATTATTAAGCATTGTCAAAGGGATGAAAGAAAAAGATCTTTGGAAATTTTAACTGCTTTATTTTATTGGCATGTGTGTTCATCTGAAGGCATTAGTGCATTTTATTTACTGATTAGCAGTGTGAACCAGAAGGGATAAAAGTTGGGTTTAATACACATTTAATCAAACTCATTTTCAAGCAAAAAACTTGTGCCTATGATTGAGGGTCAATTACTTGGTATATCTACACTAATTTATTTTTTAATTATCCAATGTGGGATGAAACTTAATACTCTTACATGACTTAACAAGCTCCCCTCACATGAGAGCTCTACATATCCGTCATCATTCCCCCTTACTCAATTCTCTTCAGTTTCATCAAGTATCATGCACTTGGAGGCTGGAGCCCACTCAAATTACGTGGAGCCTTCATGGGAGTCATCTGCCTTTGATCCTAGCTCAATCATGATAGAGGGGGCTGAGATTCATGAATGAATAAACCGCTTGTTTTGAACCATTATTTATGATACCACTTGTTGGGGAATGTGAATTGAAAGGGATCTAAGTTGTGCTCGATGAACCATCAATCAAATGTTTACAACCCAAAAGCTCAAGGCTTTGTGAAGGCTAAGCACTTGGTATTTCTAAACAAACATATTTTTTACATTTTTAAATGTGGGACTATAATCAGCACTCTCACGTGCATAACATTTATTGTGACATATTTAATTGGCAGTACTCTTTGAGCTCTTCATGTCAATATCGTTTATAGTATTAGCTTTTGTTGGAGTCCATGGGGCCCACACCCTATACGTGCATTGGTTCCCACCCCAACCCCATGCATAGCTCACCTTTTGTGGGACTTACATTTCAACTAATCTTAGTAGGGATCTTTTAGCACAAGGAGTTAGGATTTTAACAATTGGATTGATCTCCTCATGGATTTAGGATTGGAATATGGGTGTTCCATCTAGCCGCTGGCCCTTTCGTGGTGTATTTATTTTCCTTTTTTTAATTAGTCTTGATTTGTTTTTATTGTAAGATTCTTGGAGGAGCTTATATATATCTCCATAACTTTATACAAGAAAAAAAATCCATAAAAATTCAAATTACATTTTACATATTTTCTTCATTCCACTTTTCTACTGCTTTCATTCCCCTAATCTTTTGAACTGTTAGTTAACCAAATGATCTCTAATTGTGAAAGATGAACTGTAATTTTTTGTATTGAATTATACTGTTTAGGAATTCACAACCTTGAAGATGTCATAGGAATATAAATTACTCTTCGAGTAAGAAGTGCCACTTTACAAGCCTGTTTATTTCTTAGATTCAAAATTTTCTTTCTATGTTGGGATGCTGCCATCTCCAGCACTCCAAATGTTCAGTCAATGCATGCACGTATGAATTGTATTCATTTTATTGTAATATTTATTTGGCATGCCACTGTGTTATCTTAAGTTAAATGTTTGACATGTAATCTTTCTTTAAAATAATATTTTCTGTTTGCATGATAGTTGATTAAATCTTGCTCACAGATTGATTAATTTGTTCACTGCATAGGATGATTCATACTTGGAGAGCTACATCAGTACAATTGGAGTTGATTTTGTAAGTTTGTTCGCCTCAAGCTTTGCCACATTCCTTGCATGCAATTTCTAACAGGAAATTTTGTTCCATTCAGAAAATCCGCACTGTTGAGCAGGATGGAAAAACCATAAAGCTACAAATAGTAAGTAATAAAATTTTGCTAGTTACATTAACCAGAACCCTGGCTAATATTTTGATATTTTCTATCTAGTGGGATACTGCTGGGCAGGAGCGCTTCCGCACAATTACAAGCAGTTATTATCGTGGTGCTCATGGCATAATTGTAACATTCAAATCACTCTTTCCATTTATTATATTCTATAGATACTATGTTGTGATCTATCTCTCCTACACTTTGGGCAAAACTACCAATCTGCACTTTAGCTATATAGCTTGGCACTGGGTGTAAGCCCAAAGTGTGTGGGAGAAGCACCACTCTTTTATGAGGTACTATGCTTTTGTTCTTGAAACAATGGGGATTCATTCTGCTTAGGTCGTTTATGATGTGACGGACCAAGAAAGCTTTAACAATGTGAAACAATGGCTAAATGAAATTGACCGTTACGCAACTGAAAGTGTGAACAAGCTTTTAGTGGGTAACAAATGTGATTTGACTGATAAAAGGGTGGTTTCCTACGAAGCTGGCAAGGTAATTAAAGTGTTTTAGTCATCCTCAACTTTCTGGGATAGTAATTAAGCTTACATACACGCTTAATGGGTAACATTGAGCCGGACAGATTACTCCATATCCCCAAATTAACTTTTTCACACATTTTTTCCAATTTTTCTCTTTTGAAGGCCTTAGCTGATGAGGTTGGAATCCCCTTTTTGGAGACGAGTGCTAAGGATGCTACAAATGTTGAACAAGCCTTCATGAAAATGACAGCCGAGATTAAGAGCCGGTGAGCATTGGCTATTACTAAAAGGCTCCATTGAAAATCTCCCCAATACATTGTCTACTTACATTCCTGCTATTTTTCTTTGTTCTGAATTACTTAAATGAATAATTAACCTTCTCAAGCTAATTTTAAGAATATACATAATACACACACACTTACAAACAATTCCATATAATTAGGGATGTAAATGAGCGGAGCTTATGCGAGCATATTTTGTGTTTGTGTTCGCCTTATTTAAAGTTTTGTACGTTTATGTTCGGTTCATGGTTGAAATTGTTCGTGAATGTTGTATTTGTGTTCAACTCATTAGAATTCGAGCTAAATGTAAGTTAATTTCAATAAGTAAAAATAAATAAATAACAAGCCAAATTTGATAGAATTATTCTATTTATTCACTAACTAATTAATTACTCCAAATAAAATAAAAGTAATAATAAATAATTTAAAAATATAAGCTGCACACGATCAAGTAAAGTTTTTTTGACAGCTCTCTATATAATATCCTTCTATCATTTACCAGGACTCAGATTCTGCTCTAATTGTAATTTTTAACTTTTGGGTTACAGTATGGCAAGCCAACCCACGGTGAATACCGGCAGGCCAGCGGCAACTGTTGAGATGAGGGGGCAACCAGTTGCCCAGAAAAGCAGCTGCTGCTCATAGGCGCTTTGCCTGGATTCTGTGTTATCAAAAGATATGGCTTTCTGCTGGGTGCAATTCCCCACTCAATGGGTGGTTATTATTATGGCTTTAGGTAATTGCTGCTCATTCTGTAGATATTTGTTAAACCTTCATGTTACTGGGTACTATAATATGGTATCAACATTCTGAATTCTGAAAATTATTACTTGCAGTAATCTTTTCAATAGTCTACTTACTATTCAACATCCTGTGACTAGATAATGTCCTGTTATGTTCTTATAGGCTTGGGAGAATGTGTGAATGATTCCTGAACAATCTTCTGCTATTTTCCAAAATGAATATTTGCAATTTGCTCATTTGATTGTTGCATTATGGAAGGTTCATAAGTGAACTACTCTACAAATTTTTGTTAGAATTTTTCGTGTACAAATGTAGTGAAATTTATTAAAAAAAAACGACTACATTTACACAGCTCTGCTGCTGATTGTTCAAATAACTACCGCTGGCCGCGCATCTAATGGACCGGTCTGCGGAAACAGAGGCGGAAGTTTTTCCGCCTCTCTATGCTGCCGATAGAACCGCGGACCAATAGAGCAGATTAGGAAGGATTTTTGAGGGATTTGAGAGGGAAATTTGAATGTAGGGACTGTTTAGAGATTTCCTTTTCATTTGTATGCATTAAATAGTTTGTTTTCCTAGGGTTAGGGCATCTTGAATTTAGCTGAAATTTGAGATCTCCTAGAGTTAAGTTTTCCTTTGGGCTCTAGCGGCGTTTAGAGATTTGGGAGAGATCGATCCTCTTGAATAGAGGATCAATTGTATCTTGCTATTCTCCATTTTCCTTTCATCAAATAATACAAATTATCTACCGTTTCGTGGTTTTGTGCGGATTTTTTGTGCAGAAAGCTCGCTGTTTTCCGAAGATTGATAGGAAATACTCGAGATCTACAAGCACTTCCTATTAAATTGGTATCAGAGCACATCGATTGAAGGGGAACCAATGGCCGGAAGGAAAGTGGAAGTTTTGAACGGAGAATTTAGGCAACTCAAAGCAGATTTTGAGGAAAAGATTGCTGATTTTCAAAATCAGATTGCATCTGTCAATGAAAAGATGGAGGAAAAGTTCGCCGTGGTGGAAGACATGTTGAAGAAATTGCTTAAAGCCAAAACCAAACCGGTGACATCAGAAGCAAAGGAAAAACCGGTGACATCAGAAGCAAATGAAACTACCGGCGGCCATAGAAGAGATGGGAACCCTAATACGTCTAGGGGAAGGGAAAATTCAGAAGTGGAGATTCTGGAGGGAGAAGACGGAATGCCTCCTATAGAACAACTTTTTAGGGAGGAGATGAGAAATTGCTACGCAAGAAGGCGTGCTGAATTTGTAAGGAGAATGGATGATTTTGATTGCTGGGGTGCTGATTTTGAAAGAAGAAGAGAGGATTTTGATAAATGGTTTGGGTATAATCGTCGTAGGTAAGATCGTGACAATTGGGGAGCACCTCTCATTTCGAGGAATGGAAGGTTATGAAAGATTTAGGGGATACGGGTCTGACCCGAGGGTGAGGAAACTGAAGATGCCAATCTTTGAGGAGGAGGATACGCACGAGTGGATCTACAAGGTAGAAACATATTTCGCTGTCAATGTGCTGACAGAGGAGGAGAGTTTGACGGTGGACCACCACCTTATTGAAATCCAAGAAGCCAACATTAGATACTCTTTGGGGGACTTCGAAGGAAAAACTGGAGGAAGATGTGGGGACAACTTCAAGAAACTCACAGAGACAGAATTACAGGAGAAGAGGACGAATGGGCTTTGTTTTAGATGTGACGAGAGATATACGTCGGGGCACAGGTGTAAGGATTGAACTCTTCAGGTTCTTACCGTTTGTGATGAAGAAGGAATGGAGGGTGTCGTCTTTCCACCTTGCGGACAAGGTGGATTTTTGGGAGGGGGGTATTGTTAGACCGGTCCAATCCAGCCGGTCCACACAGGACCGATCTGCAGAAACAGAGGCGGAAGTTTTTCCGCCTCTCTATGCTGCCGACAGAACCGTCGGACCAATAGAGCATATTAGGAAGGATTTTTGAGGGATTTGGGAGGGAAATTTGAATGTAGGGACTGTTTAGGGATTTCCTTTTTATTTGTATGCATTAAAGAGTTTGTTTTCCTAGGGTTAGGGCATCTTGAATTTGGCTGAAATTTGAGATCTCCTAGAGTTAGGTTTTCCTTTGGGCTCTAGTGGCGTTTAGAGATTTGGGAGAGATCGATCCTCCTCTTGAATAGAGGATCAATTGTATCTTGCTATTTTCCGTTTCCCTTTCATCAAATAATACAAATTATCTACTGTTTTTGTGGTTTTGTGCGGATTTTTGTGGGGAAAGCTCGCTATTTTCGGAAGATTGATAGGAAATGCTTGAGATCTACAAGTACTTCCTATCAGCATCAACCCCTTTGTCCTTTTACCTGTGTTGGGCGTTCATGCAAAGATTGGAGGATAGATAGCCGTCTTGTTTATCTTTTTGGCTGCTGCTGCTGCTGTTGTATCTATTAGCCTTTTAAATTCTTCTTTGTTCCTATGTATAATGGTGTGAGCTTTGTGCCTTCCCTCTACAAATCTGCAAGCGCACCTCTTATATATCAATTATTGACTATTGGAGATTGGATCTCGTCATATAGAAGGCCACGTCTATTCTCACGAGCTGGTTTATTGGGCCATGAGCACAAATCCGAGCTTGTCTTATTACTCTTACTATTAGAGTTGTCCAATTTGATTAGATTCAACTCGGTTGGTACTTCCTATAGGGCTTTTGGAATGGCGATAATTCAAATTAAGGCTTCGTTTGGGGTGGCTCTCTTATTGCTTCTTAAAACAGTTTTTTAGTACAAAACATTTAATTTTTTAAGTAGAAAGCTGCTTTAAAAGCAGCAAGAAAGTCGTTCCAAACGAAGCCTAAGACACATGATGGAGCTACGAGGACTTTGGGAGATGTTAGAGAAGCACCAAGTTTGAATTAGAGTACTATTTTTTCAAGTTCTTTGAACTCTAGTAGATGCAGGTTCATTAATAAGGCTTCGTTTGGATGGCTTTCTTGCTGCTTTTAAAAGCCACTTTTTAATAAAAAAAATTAATTTTTGTATAAGAAAGCGGCTTTGAGAAGCAGCAAGAAAGCTGTCCCAAACGAAGTCTAAGGCAAAGTTTTACATGGTTATTGGGGTATTGTGCTTTTCATGCTGGCGAAGATGATGGACAATCTTTACTTTCTTCCAAGCATCGTAATGATAGCGATGAATTAATTTCTTCGTCAGCTGATTTGATTAGGTTTGAAACATGTGGCTTGAGAATGCCATAACAGTATGTATTAGAATTAAGCAAAAGAGATTTGGTTTATGACCAAAGAATTGGAGCATTGGAGTTCTATGATAATTGTATTTTGAGTAACCATTACAACTTGAATTTTGTGCTGAAGTTTATATAATCAAATCTACTTAAAGACTGTTCATTTTGTCTTATGAGATCTTGCCACCATGAGGTCAAAATGTAGATCTACTTATATGTTTTTTTAGGCATTTAGTAGATAGTGAGCTGATCATGACTGAAGAAGTCACCCTTCAAAGAGGGGGCTCATAGGAGGAACTTAATGAGTAATTAAGGGGAGTAGTACTTGCTAGAAAATCAAAGGGAGATCTGTCATGATCTAATCAAGAACTAGCTCTGTACGAGACGATATGTAGATTCCTCGTTAAATTAATAGTTAGGCACAAATCATGTGCTTGGATTGCTTTATCAATCACCCATTCTTTTAAGAGTGGTTATCTCTCCATCAAAGCCCAATTACAGGAAAGAGCCTACTTTGGGTCCTCAGCTAGCCCTATCCACATCAACCACAACTAATTCCCTTGGCTATCTCGGCTCACTAGTCAGTTTCCTCACGATGACTTTAGCCTCAATACAGATCACCCATTTCTAACTGACATCAAATCGCCAAGTCACCCATGCTCGGTTCTAGCTTGCAAGTTCGTCAAGTACAACGGACTCATACCCGATCAAACTCGTCTAGTACACGCTCGAAACTACCAAATTCACCCAGTGAACTCGACACCACCGAACTCACATAGAGATATCATCAGCCTTACCTCTCCCTTAGCCAATCAAGGGATGATATTTGCCTAGGCGTTATGCCGTTATATATGTGATATCTATAGGCTTTTCTATTTTTTTTATGTATAGTTTTTCTTTTAGCGCTCATGATCTTATAAATATAGGGTGATGAAGAACAATTTGGGGGATTTTTTTTTTCAATTCTTGTTTGATATATTGAGAATTCTGCCGATTTAAAATATCTAATTCTTTTTAAGTAATTCTCTCTCACTTTCTCTCGCACACACACACATGCATGCGCGTGCTTGCCCTAAACTCTACTCTTTATTCTCCATTCTCATAGGTTCTATTTATTTGTTCACTTAGTTGGCCTATTAGCAAAGTTGGATGCCATTAACAGATAAATATGAATTCAACAATATCTACCTTTACTAATAATTTCTCAAAGCAGGCATTAGTTTAATGGATAATTAAAAGAATGATATATTTAAGACATTTGAGAAGAAGGAAATAAAAAATCAAGAGATTGGAAATTGCTAATGGCTTCAATTCATGTTATAATTTGAGACATTTTATTTTGAAGGAAGACACTGCAAACGGTACTCCATATCAACAAAATAGATTTGTGGTAAGATTGAAAAAGCACTCTTGGGCAGGATCATAATTATAACAAAAGAATTGAAGTTTTTGCGAAAGAATAAGACTTTAGTTGGGACGGTTTTCTTATTGTTTTTTTTAAGCAGCTTTTGAGTACATAAATTTTAATTTATGTATTTAAAAGTTACTTTAAGAAATAATATGAAAGACGTCCCAAGGGAAGCCTAAGTCTTGAAGTAGAGCAATTCATTGCAAAGGAATCTTCCAATTAATACAAAGAGCAAACTTGCAATATCCATTTGTTTAGGTTTGAACAAGCAATAACTACAAGGCTCTCATGTATTTATTCTTGTTGAATATATTATAAAAAAAATGCCTATGAAGATATATTTTCAAGTTATTTTTGTACTTGAAAATTTTATAAATATTTGACAAAGAAATATAGAGAAAAAAAATCTATAAGATATATTAGTTGAGCATTTGCCACATTTTGAAGCTTAAAAATAAGCTATATGATTGAAAGGCTAATTAGTTGCAAATTTTAT